TTGAACGGGCGGTTCATGAGGAACACAAGAGCTTACAGTGGTGTTGGCTGGGTTTGATTTAAACATAATCTCTCCTTAAAGTTTGTAAAAAAGGGAGATGAGAGCTCAGTCCTTCCTGAAAGAAAAAGAGGATGGAAGGGAGAAATGAGACAAATCTTTTTTGCACAAATTCGTGAAACAATTTTGAGTGCATTTATAAAGTATTTCTCACAAAAAATTGCAACGCGTAACTGTTTCGTCCACAAATGTAAGAGCTATATCGTTATGCCCTGCTCTAGATAAATATATGTTACCATCTAAACTGCGGTGTTATACAGGGATTTTCGGCCTGAGAAAAGCCGTAACAACACACGTGAAAAAAGATCGTATTTTTTCCACGTTTGTTGATATAGCCAATCAGCTGCTGACACGTCACTCGCCTTTGGCGCCACTCGGTCAGGTCGATGGATGAACGGCGAGCCTTCACGGTTCTCGGCACAAGGTAGTTTGTCAGAACTTTCACGGATTATGGCGGCTAAAACACTAAAAAAATCCGTCTCGCTGACAGACAGTGAGGTTCAAACTTTCTTAGAAGGGGAAAAACCAATATACAAAAAGAAAACCCGAAAGTTACGTATTCAGTGGCTTTGGTGTTGGCATTTTTCGCGACTGAGAACGAAAATCGACAACTGGAAGATTCGCCACCGGCCGATTTTGGCCGTCAATAAATGAGAATTTTGATGGAACATTGTAAGTGATGTCTACATTTTTACCAAAGGAAAGAAGAGTATTAACACGGCAAAGGACGAAAATGTCGAGTTAACTCACACACAGGTATTTTGTGGTAGATTGTGTGTGTTAATAATATAATTTCAAACCTTCATATAGTCTTCTCACTTTGCAAGTTGGTTGGTGTGATGTCTGCACAGGTTTTACCAACGTAATAAAAGTAGATGTAAACGAGATGTCACTATTGAATATTTAACACGCGCAACATTCGAAAACAATCGACAGCTTCGCACGTGGTCCATACTATCATCTTTTTAAGCGATATGTGTTTATTTTGTTGACAAAAATGCGGATCGAGACTAAAACTGTTCCTTCGACTTATTATATTTTCGACGTTATGCATGTCCCCGTATGTCCCCGGCCGGGACATAGCGGGGCATTTGACAAGCGCTCACTTCTAAAGTTGCAAAATGCCCCGCACCTCAAGGTCAGGTTTTTCCGCTAATCGAAGCTAACGACCCCGCTCACATCCCCCGCTCTTGCTGAGTGGAAGACACAGGCTAATGTAAATGGTTTAAACTTAATATGTCAAGTAATACACGTCACCGCATACAATGCTTTTCAAATGGTATAAAATGTTTGTGGTGTCTTTATAGTCCATTGTTAACCACCGTCTTGCCGGACTAGTACGGCCTAGCGATTCTTGACCCAGTCCACCTCGGTGGAAAATAGCCCGGTCCACTCCCCCGCTGCTCTTGGATGACGTGCAAAAGAGGTCAAAGTCACCGATACCCGCGGCCCTTTTGCTCGTCAAATAACGGAAAATTCCCCGCAAATGCCCCGCTATGTCCCGGCCGGGGGGTGCGGGGGCTTACATTGACTGGTGTATTAGTGTATCACGTCATATAAACTCACCTCCCTTAAGTCATTCATTCCAGATAACAAAATCAAATAAACATGCTTATGATGGTATCTGAATTTGTCCTTGGCCAAACACAAAAACGACTCCACAAGATCACTCTCTCCGGGCGTCGAAAACACACACAAAATCGTCCATAGTTAATTTTAATCAGACATTCATCTAGAGATAGCACCAGGCAAACCAATCCAGAAAAATATAATCGGCACATTCAACAAATCATGAATCTTGCAACACAGCTTGCCGTTAAAGAACTGCTCAAATCAAAATGTTTGCTGCAATTCAACAACACCTCAAGCAATACGTGGTTCAAAATTTTTCCACTCACTCTCGTCGTGAAGGAACAATAACCATGATCGTGCTAAAGTGCACAGAACTCCATTTTCTCTCGAACAACTATCCACACGGTTACCATGGGTAATCTGATATCTTCCATCTGTCCATTAGTATCCCATTTCTTATGAAGCGTGGTAAAACACACGTTGAAAAGACAGAAAGCCAAAAATTCTCATTCTGAAAGATGATTCCATTTCACGAACCGCTTTCTCTGTACGCTAACATAAATAATATATTTTTTTTATTAAAAAAAAAAACTAAAAAATAACTAACATCATTATATCTCTCAGTTATTGCGTGGGCTATGATTGATCAATTTGTGGTTAAAACCACCTTGAAGAATATAATGAACTGAAACACATAAAAATACTTCTCCTTGGCTTTCATTTGAAAGATCAAACGCTAGGGTATGTTTTTGTTCCCATTTTATGCGCTGAATTTTTGGAGTTCTACTTTTTTCATCTCTCTCACGGTATAGCTTTCTAAACAGTCTGTTACTCCTGACGACAACAACA